TATGAAACCGTTCTGAAGCAATTAACGAGGGTGACCGGTGGGAGCGATAATGTTAATGAACGGAAGTTTCCAACCTTGTATGGCATGTCATTCGTCATACGTATGTATATCTACCTCGGGCGACGACGCACACTCGTTTATTCCTCTCTTTCTCTCCCTGCAATTCGACAGTTTAATCCCACGGCTGCTCGGGATTTTGCAAATGGGATTGCATCCCGTCAACAATTCCGCAATAATCGAGGTGTTTGGTGTAACAAAAAAAGCGCACGATTGTTTTTTAATCCTTGCAAAAAACATGAAAATGTAAATCTTTGAGAATTTTACATTTGCCAAAATCGACTTGAATTTACAATTATATTAATTATTTCCGGCACAGAGCTAATTTCTAATTTATAAAAGGTCGTAAAAGAGCATTCTTGAAAGATCGAATCGAATGAACTCGTCGAGCACCGACCTCCTCGACCGGTGACTGATCCTCCGAGAAACTCGTAGCTCGCAGATCCTTCTGATTTCGTGTTTACTATGCGTTCCCCAGGTACACGAGATGGATCTACTGCCGAAGCAAATGTGCCATCGGTGCAGCTACAAGTTGGAGGAATTCCACAAGTTCTACGTGGACTGCCTGAAGACGGACGCGGCGCTCAAGAGTCAGCTGTCGTGGATGCGGAAGGGTGGCGGCAGGGAGAAAGTCGGCGTGCCGATGGTGCACATCGAGAACATGAAGATCAAAGCGGAGCCGCTCGACTACGACGTGTACGAGCTGGAGCCGTTGGTGGAGAACATCGACTACATTAACTCGATGAACTCGGTGGCGTTCCGGGCCGGTGGCATTCACGACGGGCTGACGTACGCGGCGTTCTCGCGCTACCGTTGTTGCTGTGATAAGAAGGACCAAAGCAGACCGAGGCGAACCACAGCAGGGCTCTGCCAGAATTACGAAGGACAGACGCCCAGATCCGGTAGGGTTGCGGACGTTTCGCGGAAGAGGACCCTCGAGGACACCGCCGCCGCACGGTTGGAGCTGTTTAAGCGGAGTCCCTTTACGCAGTCGGTGTTCCCGGATTGCCCGCAGAATCGTCTGCCGCGTGTCGAGAACGCCGTCGAGAACGCGCGAGATCGTCCACTGGCCACAGATACGAGTACCAAAGATAACGTAGCCTCCTCTCCGGAAACGCGGAATCATTCTCACGGTAGACTCGAAGCGTCCCCTAAGAGTCAGACGATTGCCAGGAGCACAATAGTGCGGAACTTGAGGCCCAGGAAAAATCTGGTGAACTATACGTCTAATAAGAAGAGAATGTCGAGTGTCAATCCGGGACCATCCGCGTTGACAAAGTCGAACGTTTCCGAGACGACA